TTCAAATAATCTTGTTTCCTTGGCCCCTTGTAGTCTCATCTTTGTTTTATAAATGATTGTTGGCTGTTTGGTTTTACATGCATAATTTTAAAAATTTACAGATGGGGGATATTCATTATTTTTGAGTCAATTTGTTATATGTTGACCTCAGGGTCAGTGCTGATGAATAGATGGTTTAAAGAGTACCTCGGGGCAAAAGTTTTGGAGAGTCCTTCCACAGCATGTAGCCCAGTAGTTCTGTTTTTCCTTTTTTGGGGTTTGTTTTCTTTTTAGAAATTTTGGTGTCTGCTGTATACTTTTCCCATTACATCAGGATCTATCTATTGTGGTCCTGAATAGAATTTTCAGTAGTGATAATCAGGCACCATCTAGTTCTTTTGGTGTCAGGGCAGATGCGGTCCTGGTTCCTGTGGATAGTTGTCCTGTAAACTAGTTTCTTCATTGCCTTTGATTTCCTTCTTCCTTTTTTGTTCCAGAGGTCCATGAGATTTTTAGAGTCTGTCTTTTTCATTTCATGCATATTCTAGACATAGAACTAGATTTAAATTTCGTTTTATCACAATGTACTCGTTGAGTTTGAATCACTTACTAGTAGAGTCTTAAAGTACGAACACCCTCAGCTCTGTGTTTCCCATATCCTGTTATTGTGATCTATACCTCGCTTCCTCTTCTATCAGTGTTTACTTTGGGGGCCTGGTTCCAGAAGAGATTAAGACAACTTAAAACTTTTATTTTACTTTATAGTACCATAGCTAACATTTTTCACTACTGTATTGACTATCAACTGTCGTACACTTTGCTCGCTCCTCTTGCTTTTTAAATGCGTTTCTCTTTGCCATGAACATAAGAAGAGGGCGTAAGCATGTCACCTTCAAAATAAGACTGCCTGGATGGAGATCTCCACTCAGTCACTTCCTGAAAACAAAACTCACTTCCATGAGTCATTTTTGACTCACAGCGACAGGCGCGCTACAGGACAGGGTAGACCTGCCCTGTGGTTTCTAACACGGTAAATCTTTACAGTAATAGACAGTTTCATTTTTTCTCTAGCAGAGCAGATGGCAGTTTTGAACTTCTGACCTTGTGGTTAGCCGCCCAACATATAACCCATTATGCCACCTAATTGTGGGAATATTAACTCTTCATTCTAAATCTTGATTTCTTCATCTGTAAGATTGAAATTGAGTGGAAGCCTAATGTCTTAGAATTTGAGATTTTAATGAAATAATAAACATAAAGTATCTGACACATAGTAAGTATCCAAAAAATGCCACTCATCCCTGTAATATGGTTACTGTTGTTACTATAAGTGATTGTGATTTTCAGAATTTCTAAGATTCCTGGATTTAACTATTTGGTGGACCTCTGGTAATTGTGCGATCCTGTGGGTGGTTTAAGAGAGGTTTTAACAAAACTGTCGTTTTGAATCACCATCTAGGCACTACCACTCTTTCCCCACTTAATATAATGCTCCAAGTGACAACTATGATAATCCTCTCACTACCTTTTTATATATACATTGTAAAAATTGTTGTCTTCCCCAAACTGAAACGATACCCAAAGCGACCATCCATTCCATTTTCCAGTTATAACACAAGCCCACTGCCACCAAGTCTATTCTCATTCATAGTGACATCATAGGATATCTGAGACTATACACTTGTACAAGAAGAGCAGACAGCCTCATCTTTCTCTGTGGACCAACTAGTGAGTTTGAACTTTTGACCCTGTGGTTGCCAGCTCAATGCCTAACCCACAGTGCCACAGCATAAAGCGAATATCCAGGCTCACTGCCATTGGGTGCATTCCGACTCACAGGCTGTAATCCCTCCAGGAGCTGAAATGAAAGCCTTGTCTTTGTCTCACAGCGTGGTTGGTGGTACTGTTGCATAAGCCACGTAAATTCATTGGTCCCACAAACAACGCAATCTACTTTATATGAGAGGGTCATCTCCCCAAACGGATTTTTTTCAAAGCTATATATTTACATTTTTTTACAAAACAACCTTAAAATGTTCAAAGTACTCTCCATTACACTTAATATATTTGTCAAATCTGTGATTCCAGTCTTGGAAACATTTTTTTAGATCAATTTATTGGAGGCTCTTACAACTCTTTTTACAATCATACATCGATTATATCAGACGTATTAGTACATGTATTGTCATTGTTCTTTCTTTTCTAGACATCTACTTTCTATTGAGCCCTTGGGATCAGCTCCTCCCCGCCCTCCCCCCACCCCTGTGGCCCTTTGATAGATTATAGATTGTTATTATTTTTCTATCTTACCGACTGCTGTCTCACTTCCCCTCTGGTTTCTGTTGTTCCTCCCCCTTAGGGGGGTGTGCTTATGTGTCATTCATTGTGATCGGTATCTCCGGCCTCCCTACCTCCCCCCACTTTCCCCTACCCTTTTGGTGTCCCTATTCCCATTCCTGTTCCTGGTTCCGTGTTGTCGTGAGTTGTATCTCTTGCCTATACCAATGTACATGTTCCGGTCCAGTCCAGAGTGGGAAGCAGCACTGGGGTCATGATAGTGGGGGGTGAAGAAACCTCAAGTAACCAGAGGTATATGGCATGATCCATTGGTGCTTTACTGCACACTGACTGACCCTGTGACCCCTCTGTGGGGGATGTTCTCTGTTGTCTACAGATGGGCTTTAGGTCTCCGCTCCAACATCCGTCATCCTCACCAACACATTTTTGTTTGGGAAACATTTTTCAAACTCATCTGCCTGGATGGCTGATGGCACCTCCCTCATTTTTTCTTAAACTCCTCTATGTTGTCAAATCACTATCCTTTCATTTCCCTTTTCATTTGCAGAAACAAAAAGAAGTGGCATAGAGTGAGGTCTGGTGAGTAAGATGAATGGGGCAAGAGGCATGCTGATTTTTGCCAAAAACTGACACATTGAGATGGCTGCATGAGCAGATGCATTTTTGTGGTGGCAAAACCAATTCCCTGTCTGCCACAAACCAGACCTTTTTGTTGCACATAGTTATGCCATGTTTTCAGAATCTCTAAATGGAAAGCTTGGTTAACAGTCTGACCTGGTGGAACGAACTCCAAATTCACCAAGAGTTGACATTTCCGTCTGTTCAGGAAGTTGACCGCTCATACATTTGAGTTTTCCCCACAGCACTGTCCTTTGAAGCTGTGTTCAACATCACAACAGTTTCTGTGGCATTTTTCCTGAGCAGGAAACAAAATATCACAGCCACATGCTGTTCTCTTAAATTGGCCATCACAAAAAATGAGGTTTGAGCAAAGCTGCTTTTATGAAAAAATTCAATGTGACCAGAGAGAACCATCCAAGCCGATGCCACTGAGTGCACTAACTCTGCTTGTTGCTTGATGCTCACCTCGTGGGGAAAATGCATACTACAAAAGATCCACCCAGAGGAGCTTTTAACCATTTTTTGGGGGAAGGAGGTACCCCTTCATATGAAATAATTGTCCCCAAACTATTTTATAGCAATGACATTTCCTCTGGACAATAGTATTATAAGATTCTGAGTAGCCTCTATGTGGTTTTGTGAAAATATGAGGTTCTTCCTGAAATTAAGTTGTAAACATGGAGTCTAGACAGAATATTTTGTTCATACTATTTAATTTACTTTTTTTCCTTAACCAGTCATTTTTTTCCAGAATTTTTAAGGTACAAAGTGTTTCATTACTTTGAAGGTTTTATATATGCATATACATATAGCTAATTTAGAGGAAAATTAGCAAATTAAAAAATGTCTAATTTTAATATTTGCAAGGTAAAGTGTTCTTTGTGTATATGTACATGTATGTATATTTTAAATAACAAATAAACAAATTTAGACCTGTAGTTATTCAGAATTTCTAGCTTATAACAGTTTTAAAAGCAATATTTTCCTCTCCCTTTACTTTACATGGAGAAAGAAAGACTGGGCGTTCTACTCCAATAAACAGCTACAGTCTAGGAAACCCACAGAGGGTCACCATGAAACAACATTACCGTGACGGCAATGAGTTTGGTTTTTATTTTTAATTACTTTTGTTGTTGTTGAGAATGTACCCAGAAAAATACACTCTATTACAATAATTCCTCTCTCTACATACCACTTAATGACACTGATTACATTCTTCCAGTTGTCACCATTCTCATCCTTTTCTGTGATTTTTCCTCCACCAGAAACATAAATTCATTGCCTATGGTTTTTACCTAACTTTTCAAGCTGTTTCAGTTTGATCCCATGTACCTAGTTCTTACAAGAGTCTCATGCTCGACAGATTCTTTTTGCTTACTAGTTGTGTGGTGTTAAGAGGTGTTGCCATCAGAGGACGTTTGGGTTTGAGATTTAAAGATAATCTCAGGGGAACTATTTCAGGGCGTTCACCCAGCCTTCATGGCTCCAGGAAGCCTGGGACGGTTTAGTGCGAGTTTTGATAGTTAAAATTTTCAAGAAATTTTATGTTTAACCTAAGTTGTCAAAAGTGTCCAAATCAATTTATCCCAAATATAACTTTGTCCTTTTGAATGTCTGTGAGATCCTTGCCGATGCTGGGACTTTGTGTTCTCTCTCTCATTGTCCATGACACTGCAGTTTTCTGTTTAATGTAACCATAGTGACGTCGTTGAATTCCATGTACCGATGTATTTGTTTTCTTTTTGTCACTTCCTTTTGCTCATCTTCCTTTTCTATCATTAGAAGTTTTATTTATTTTTTCTGTTGTTGGAAATATGCACAGCAATACATATACCACTTTGGGTTTCTGAATGTGCCGTCTAGGGACGCTGATTGCACTCTCACCCCCTTGTCTCTGTTGTTCTTTTCCATGCACATAATTCACTGCACCCTAAGGTTCTGCTGTCATCACTTTAACTCCATGTAGTTTTTGAAATTGTATTATGCTCAAGGAAGACTTTTTTTTTTACTAGTGAAGCCAAACTGCTGTTTGGTGTTAAGATTTCAGAGGATATTTTTGACTTAAGTTTTAAAGATAGCTCAGGGCAATCATTTCTTTCTTTCTTTCTTTCTTTTTTTGTGTCGTACTGCAATACCAGGCCGATGCTTGGAGTGGATGGAGCAAGCTCCTATTCCATCTCCCTGCTCCAAAAATCCATTAAATATGTTGTCCTTGGAGAGAGGACGGATCAGATATTAAACTGATAAGAATAGATACTATGCTTGATCTTGGCCAAAAGCCAAGAAGCAATGGGGCAATCATCCTAAGGATTCCTCTAACATACATGGCTCCAGAAAACTTGGAATCTATGAGAATTTGAAATTCTGTTTCAAATCCCCGGCCCCCCCCCCCCCAGGATCAGAATTGTTCTATGAAATCTTTGATCAAATATTCAGAAATGATCATCTGGAGCCATCTTGTTCTATTCTCTTGTCAAAAGAGGAGGCTATTCCTAACGGGACATACCAACCATTCCATACACCTGCTTTATTCCTGATGTCCCTTCTTTTCCTGTGGTTCTGGGTGAATGGAGACCGATTGTTGTGTGTTGGATAGTCACTTGCAAGCTTTTAAGATCCCAGGTACTGTGCATTGAACTAGGAATTACTGCTCTCTACTTTAAAAATTAATTTATATTTTAAAATCCCATCTTAAAATTCATTAATGGGTACTTTAGCCATGTTTTTCTGCACTACTTTTCAAATACTAATTATAAATATAATATATATATATATTAACTTATCACATAACAATTTCATGATTTTTGCACCATGTCAAAGATTCCTCTACACATGACTGACATCTGTCCCTTGCTCAGCCTCACAATACTTCTATGCTTACCTTGCTTACTGGTTAAAGCTGCCCTGAACATCCTATCTGCTTTGGAATTTTGCTGAGATTAGTCCTGAGTAGAATGATGATCAGTATGCTGAAGATGTGTTCTGAGTATACCACTTCTGATTTGAGGAACTCTACATTGGTAAGTCACATTTTAAACCTTAATAAGCTTACAATTAAGGAAAATCATATTGATTAAGACATTGATTAATTTATTTGAGGAGACACTATTTTAATTTTCTTAATCGGTGTTTCTACAGTTCTTTACTAACAATGTCTGTCAATAAATAATTATGAACACATTATATTTGCTGTGATTATAAACATCAGAGTCTGCAGTTTGAAAGTTTTGGAATTGCCTATTAACATTTACTTGTTTTGATTGTTTAGAATCCTGCTTTTTCAGAATCTACTAATGAGGCACTTAATGACAACAAAGTTATAATATAACTTCTTATAACAAGTTGAAATATGCATTCATTCACTAACAATATAAAAAGGAATAAGTTACATGTGGAATGCTAATTTTAAATCAGATTCTTAATTGAAATGAAAATGTTCACAGTTTCTTTGGGATATATCTGAAGAATGTGCTACATCCATTTTTTTCTCACTTTTTAGAGCACTCTTACAATTTAGACTTGGATCAAGGTGCGGCTGTACTAAAACCTAATTCCAGGCAGGTTTGATGACAAATAAGAAGCTTGATGAAAGTGTCTTTTTGAAATTAATGTGCTTGAAGATATTCAATCATCTAGCTGAACTGATAAATGGATAAGCAATAACATAGCAAAGACATGATTTGTGTTCCTGTCCAGAATTGTAACCTTTTACTTCCCTAATAAATGCCATAATAATGGAAAAAGTATTTGCTTGCAGCTTTATTTTGTGCAGAATAAAATAAAGAATAGTGGCAGTTTGGGTGAGTAGTGTTGGTGGTTTGAAACCATCAGTTGCCTTGCAGCGGAAAGATAAAGCTGTCTGTTCCCATAAACATTTCTATCTACAGAAACTCAGAATGGAGCAATTCTACTCTGTTCCCTAAGTTTGCGCCAACTTAGAATTGACTCCCTGCAGGGAATTTGCTTTGCTTATTGTTGTGTTTGTTAGGCGCCATCTGGTCAGTTCCCGAAACATAGTGACCTTGGGCACGACAGACTGAAACTCCACTTATCCTGCACCATCCTCACAATTGTGAGGACGCCCGAGCCTATGGTTGAAGCCACTGTGTTGATCCATCTCCTTGAGGCCCTTCCTTTGCTCACTGCCCCTCTATGTTACCAAGCATGATGTTCTTCTTCAGGGACTGGTCTCTCCTGACAACATGCCCGAAGCATGTACGAAGATGTCTTGCCATCTTTGCCTGTAAGAAGCACTCTGGCTCTACTTCTTCCTTCTGAGACACACCAGTTTTTACCTTTAGCAGTCCATGATATTTCAATAATCTCCAGCACCATAATATTAATGCATTAATTCTTTGGTCTTCCTTATTCAACGTCCAACTTTCAAAGGCATAGGAGGCGATGAAGAATACCATGGCTTGGGTCAGGTGAACCTTAGTCTTCAAAGTAACATGTTTGCTTTTCAATATGTTAAAGAGGCCTCATGCAGCAGATGTCACCTAATGCAACTTGTCTTTTTATCTCCTGGAAGGTGCTTCCATGTGCATCGATTGTGGGTCCAAGCAAGATAAAATCCTTGACAACGTCAATCTTTCCTCCATTTATCGTTATGTTATCTAGTGGTCTAGTAGTGGTCTTCTTCACATTGAGTCATAATCTATCCTGAAGGTTGAAATCCTGGATCTTCATCAGCAAGTGCTTCAAGTCTTCCTCACTTTCGGCATCAAGGTGTCATCTGCACATCACAGGCTGTTAACAAACCTTCCTCAAATACTTATGCCACGTTCTTCTTCACACAATCTAGCTTCTCTGATGATTTGGTCAGCATACAGATTAAATCATTGTGGTGAGAGGATACAACTCTGTTGCCTAGCTTTCCTGATTTTAAGTCATGGAGTATGCCCTTGTTCTGTGTACACAACTGCCCCTTGATCCATGTACAAGTTCTGTGTAAGCACAAAGTTGTATTCCAGAATTCCTCTCATGATTACCCATAGTTTGTTATGATCACACTGTCAAATGTCTAGGAATAGTCAATAAAACACAAATTAACATCAATCTGGTATTCTCTGCTTCGAGCCAAGATCCATGCGACATCAACAATAATATGTCTTGTTTCAGGTACTCTTCTGAATCTGGCCTGAGCCTCTGGGTCTCCCTGTACATGTATTGTTGCAAGGTCATCTTCAGCATGTGATCAGCACATTTTACGTGCAGGTGTTTTCAATGATATTGTTCTATTGTTTGAGCATTCTCTTGGGTCACCTTTCATTGGAATGAGCATAAATATAGATCTCTTCTAGTCATTTGGCCAAGTAGCTGTCTTCCACATTTCCTGGCACAGATGAAGAAGTGCTGTCAGTGCTTCATTAGGATGTTGAAACATTTAAAATGGAATAACATCAATTTCTGGAGCCTTGTTTTTGTAATACTTTCACTGCAGCTTGACCTTCTTCCTTCAGCACCATTGGTTCTTGCTCACATGCTATCTCCTGAAATGGTGTCATGTCAATTTGTTCTTTTTGGTACAGCGACTCTGTGTATGCTTTCAATCCTTTTTTGATGGTTCCAGAATCACTTACATTTTTGCCCAAAGAATCTTTCAAGATTGCAAGTCGAGGCTTGAATTATTTCTTTAGTTTTTGTTGTTTAAGATATGCTGATTTTGTCCTTTCTTTTTGGATTTCTAATTGTGGCTTTGCACATTTCATTATAATATTTTACTTTGTATCTTCCAGCTACCCTTTGAAATTTGCTGTTCAGCCCTTTGACTTCTTCATTTATTCCACTTGCTGGAGCTACTCTATAATCAAGAGCAAGCTTCAGAAGCACTTCTGACATCCACCTTGATCTTTTCTTTTTTCCGGATTCGTTAATGACTGCTTGCTTTCTTTAGAAATGATGGTCCTGATGTCTTTCCATGGCTAATCAGGTCTTCTATCATTAGTGTTTAATGCATCAAATCTGTTCTTGAGATGTTCTCCAAATTAAAATGAGATAGACTCAGATTGTATTTTGTCTCTGGTGGACTTGTTTACATTTTCTTCAGCTTTAAACTGAATTTACATATGAGAAATTGATGGTCTGTTCCATCCTGACCTGGGATTAGCTGCTGGTCTTGAGCTTCTCCATCATCTCTTTCCGCAGATGTCCATTTGATTTCTGTGTGTCCGATATAGAGCGGTTCATGTGCAGAGTTGCCTTTTGTGCCATTAAAGAAAATATTTGCTATGTCATTGGTCTTGCAAATTATGTCATGTGATCTCCAGCTTAATTTCTTTCATCATATTTCCCAGCTACTGTTCTTTCTTCTTTGTTTCCAACTTTTGCATTCCAAATGCCAATAATTATCAATGCCTCTTGATTGCATTTTTGACAATTTACAACTGAAGTCATTGATAGATTTTTAATTTCTTATTCGCTTTAGTGACTGATGTATGAATTTGAATAATAGTGGTAGTGATTGGATTTCCTTGCTAATCTATAATCATATGGCAGACGACATGGTACTTCTAGACTGATTTTGCAATGTCCTTTCTGAGAATGATTTTGTCATTTGAAGTTAAGATCATTAGCAGGTTTTACAGGTCTTTATTCTTACAGTGAGGCCTGCCTGATGAGCAAATATCTGAAGCTTTAATCCATTCATGCCATCATGACTGACTCCAGTCAGAGAAAGCAGCAACTCTTAAGTCACCTCTCCAGTGTCTCTGACTCAAGGGGACCATCCTCAGGAATGACCTCAGACGAGGTTCTGCTTCCGTTCATTAGGCCGTCAGTAGCTGACAATGTTTTGAAGCTATGCGTAAGGTTCTCAATGGCTACTTCCTTTGACGTGGGCAGTGAATCCCTTCTCCATTAGTCTGGAAGCTGCACTGAAACCTGTTTACTTTAAAATTTACATATAAATATGGGTTGTCCCTGATTTACCATGGGATTCTGGTCTGAAACCTCTATCATAAGTTGCTTGTGAGAATTAAGTATTTATAATCACAATGAGCTGTTCAGAATCACACACAGCTGAATCAAATGATCTGATCAACATCTTCCCCCACCTTCTCTTACCAGGTACACCAGGACAAAAGGAAGTACAGTTACTCTCTAGGGTCCCACCGATGTTTGTGGACCTTACAGAGACTAGACCTTGAGGTGCCATATCAAGGGAATCACTGTAGCACACTAATCATTTCCCATATAAAAAGAAAGGTCAGTTGCTGTGTTGAGTCAGTTTCCAATCTCATGTATGTCAGACTACTGGTTAGAGTTTTCAATAGCTGATGTTTCAGAAGTG